ACAAAGATAGATACACACAAATATGCCTATCTAATTTTTGACAAGGTACAAAAGCAACTCAATAGAGGAAAGACAGCCTTTTCAACAAACCATGCTGGAGCAATTGCACGTCTATGACAGAAAATGAACCTCGACCTGAGTCTCACACCTCATACAAAAATTAATTCAAAATGGATCACGGAGTTAAATGTAAAATGTAAAACCATAAAACATTTAGGAAAAAACATAAGAGAAAAAATTCAGGCTCTAGAGCCTGGTAAAGACACCAAAAAGTGCAATCCATAAAAGGAAATATTTATGAATTGGACTTCATCAAAATTTAAACCTTTTGTTCTGTGAAAGACCCTGTTAAGAGGATAAAAAGACAAGCTGCAGAGGGGGAGAAAAATATTTACAAACCACATATCTGACAAAGGACTAGTGTCTAGAATATAGAAGGAACTCTCAAAATTCAAGGGTAAAAAAGCAAACAATTCCATTAGAACATGGACAAATCACCTAAAGAGACATTTCACCAAAGAAGATATACAGATAACAGATAAGGACATGAAAAGCTGTTCAACATCATTAGCCATTAGTGAAATGCAAATTAAAACCACTATGAGAAAGCACTACACACTTACCAGAATGGCTAAAATAAAAAAACAGTGACAATATCAAAATCTGACAAGGATTCAGAGAAACCGGATCACTCGTATATTGCTGGCGGGAATGTAAAGTGGTAGAGTTTGGTAGTTTCTTTAAAAACTAAAGATGCTACTGCCATACAACCCAGTAATTGAGCTCCTGGGCATTTATATCAGAGACACAAAGACTTGTATTTGCACAAAAATCTGTACACAAATGTTTGTAGCAGCTTTATTCATAATAGCCCAAAACTGGAAATAATCCCAATGTCCTTCAAGAGGTGAATGGTTAAACAAACTGTATTACATCCATACCATGGAATAGTAGTCAACAATAAAAAGAAACAATCTACTGATAGACATAATTACCTAGATGAATCTCCAGAGAATTAAAATGAGTGAAAAAAAAGCCAATCCCAAAATGTTACATACTGTATGATTTCATTTATATAGCATTCTTGAAATGACAAAATGATAGAAATAGAAAACAGATTAGTCATTGCCAGGGGTTATAGAAGGGGTGGGAGCAGGAGGGAAGGAGTTGTGGCTGTAATGTTAACATGATTGATCCTTACAGTGATGAAAATATTCTGTATCTTGACTGTATCAATGTCAGTATCCTGGTTATGATACTGTATTATAGTTTTACATGATGTTACCATTGAGGAAAACTGGATAAATGGTACATGGGATCTTTCTTTATTATTTCTTACAAGCGCATGTGAATCTACAATTATCTCAAAATAGAAAGGTTAGTTTTTTAAAAAACTCAGGGCATACAACAATAAACTTCTTTTTCATAAGTCTGCAACGCTCAGCTGATATAGACCAGGCGGCTCTGTTGATCTTGGCTGGCTTCACTCATGTGCGTGGGGTTCAGCTGACCTAGGCTGGGTTCCTCTGGGTCACCTGGGGAACTTGACTCTACTCCATGTGTCTCTCATCCTCAGCAGGCAGGCCTGGACATGTTCTCATGGCTCCAGCAGAGGCACACAAGAAAGCGAGCTGTAAGGGACAAACCTCTTTCAATCCTGAGCTTCAATCATGGCTTCTACATCATGATGGCTGATGCGAGACACATGACTGAGCCCAGAATCGGGAGAGAGGGCAAATCATTCTACCCATGATGGGAGCGCACTGCAAAGTTATAGGCATGGACACAGCAGGCAGTGAAAAGTTGGGGCCGTGATGGACTCTACCACACCAACCTTGATCACCTCCAGGATTAAAAACACCTACTGCCATTCTTCCTTCTCATAGGCAGACTGTGGCTGTTCTCCATGGTTTCAAGGATCATACAACAAGATCTGAGTGTCCCTTTGCCAAAGACAGGCCACAAGGAAAGAGAATAAATGATGTCTATATACTTCCTACACTGAGCCCAGCTGCCTCTAGACTGTCCCACTGCCCTTGTCTCCACCTTCCCCAGCCCTGACCCAATCTTTATTCCATCTGCTGCCCCATCACTGATTCTCTTCTCACCCCTTCAATCTTCTAGAATTCCTGTTCCTTTCCTAGCACTCATCAGACTTTATTTTTTTAGAATCCCTGTCCAAAGTCACTGAGATCAGTTCTTTTGGCCTCCATTTTCTCATCTGTAAAAGGTGTGTGATAGCAGTACCTACATTGCTCCATAATAAGTTTACACTGCCTGGTGCATAGAAATCCCTCAATTAATTGTAGTTTTTTTTCTTTTAATATGGAGGCCAGAGGCATGCTCAGTCTAACTGCAGAGAGTTCAAGGAAATGCAGGATTCCAAGTTGGAACTCTGGAAATGTTTTCCCATGGCAACACTGTTCTACCCTGTGATTGTATCTACACGACTACTATTACCCTTAAAGATTTTATGGTTCCCATGCTTCAGCTTAATCCTACAAGTTCAATGGTCCCTCCTGGACAGGACTGGCAAAACTAACCACCATGAAAAACAGTATTTCAAAGGAAAAATGTGAGTTCTAAACAAGTCCCTTACAAATGAACTTTTGAAACAGAACCCACTCTTAAGTTTGGTATTGCCTAGAATTGAAAGTTGTGAGGGAAGATGCTTTGGAGACTGTAAAATTATCAGGCTGGTGAATGGTAGATACTCTCCTGACCTGACCTTTCTGAGCAAGAACCTTAGGAACAAGGCTAGATGACAGAGGTGCTCAGGGTCAAGGGTGGGAAGAAAAATTGTGTTGAAAAGAAAACTAGGTAGACCTGGGGTGGCAGGTTCAATGGGAGGTTACAATCAACACCTTGGTATGCAGAGGCTGGGGAGAAGTCTTGGAAAGGAGCTGAGAAAAGAGAGCAATGCCAGAGAGGTTGATGAGGAGGCTGTGAAAACAGAAAGGTTTTAACCAGAAGCTTATAAAAGTATATCTGGGACCCAAACAAAAAAGCAATAGTTAGATCCATAATTTAAAAATGAAATGGAGTGGCCAGAAAAATACAAAGACTATAGCTCCGTGGCTAAGCGCCTAGAAGAGATGGATTCGGGGCCTCTATGTGGAAGGGCCTGATAGTGTTTGAAGAACACTGAAGCTAAGCTGAGAGTTTCAGGATACATCTGGGAGACACTCAGGACTTCTCACTGTAACAAAGTTCGGCATGAAGTTGGCCTTCTGGGTGCACAGGACAGCAATGAGCAGGGTGGAAAAAGGTGAGGGAAGGGATATTGCAAGAAACAGAGGAAGTGGGGAAAGGAGCTGGCTTTTGGTGGAGGTGAGAGCCACTGGACTAGTGAGAGCCAAGAATGAACCTGAGTAATACCCAGGTCCACCTGGGCAGTGCCGGGCCCTGTCTCAACCCTGTTAGTGCACCAGGTAATCCGCACATCTGTTGTGTCGTGACTACATGTGGACCCCAAAATGACACCAAGATCTTAGTGATGTTGAAATGCAGCTAGCAAACAGGGAATCTCAAGGATGTATCCCACAGTGGTCATCAAGCCTCTGCTTGAACACCTTTACTGATGGAACCTCAGTCCTCATGAGGCACCCATCTCCTTATTAAATGACTATCATTGTGAAAAATTCTCTCCATACAGCCAGCTCAAACCTGCCTCCTGGTGACTTCTAGGCCCTGATCCTCCTTCTGCTCTCTGGAGCTAAGTAGCCAAATCTAATCCTTCCTCCCCATGAGCGTAGGTTCCATTCTCCCTAAATCTCTCTTCTAGGATAAATAGTCCACATTACGCAGCTTTAATAACCAAGTCAACAATCACTTCGTGGTGGCCAAATGTATGCAAAGCACTATGCACACGCTAAGTGGGATCCTAAAGTGAATAAATTATCTCCTTACTCTTCAGGTAAACAGCGTGAAGACAGAGGCATGGACGATGGACTCTAACACAAAGAAGACTGATAAGTACTATATAGTAAATGTTCAAAACTTGCTATGGTGTGGCTATGAGGAAAGACTACACCAAGTCAACTTGGGGGATCTGGAAAGGCTTCTAAAAAGAGCTGGGATTTGAGTCAGAGTTTGAAAGATGTGGGGAAGGGGGCAGGTGGTGTGTGGAAAGATCACAGGACATGGGCTTGAGGACTTTGGTTCTTAACTTCCTGTTTGACCTTGAGCATATTTAAAATGAGGGCCCTGAACTAGATGATCTCTAGAGTCTAGTGATGGGGACCACAAAGGCTATAAGTTTGAGCATTCCAACATAGGAATGAGTCCAAAAGTGTGAAGCTCTACCCATATCAAGGGATTGGTGTGTGAGTGTTTGGAGCAGGGATGGGGGCGTAGGAGGAGGATAATTTATTCAATATTCTGCCTGTCGTACTGATACGGCACCCATCACCATTCTGATCATGTCCTTTTGGGACACTGACAATGTCCACGCTACCAATGATGGTACCACCAGCACCACCAGCAGCAACCACATTTCTTTAGCAATTATTATGAGCCAGACATCTTTGGAAGCACTTTATGTATTTACACTTACATCTCATGGAATCCTTATAACAGCCCTATGAGATAGGTACAAGTTCTATTATTTCCATTCTCCAGATGAGAAAGCAGAGGCATTCAAAACAGAGAGATTGAATAACTTGCTCAAGCTCATAGAGCTAGTCTAACGGCAGAGCTGGAATTTGAACTCAGGCAGTCTGGCTTCCTGCTTTACTTCTTCAGGAAAAAACACAAGGGCAGAACCGAACACAGGTCTGTGGGCATGTTCTGCCTCACCAGGACGAGAGTACAGTGGCACTATAGCTTCTTTTGCATTCCCATTAGCTCAGCCTAAGACAATATCAGCTTTCTTGGAAGCCACACCACACGGATGATTCAAATTGAGCTGGCAGTCACCTAAAACCCCTAAAATGCTTTTGACATGAGCCACTCTTAAGCCACGTCAGTACAATTCTGTTCACATGCAGTTGATTAGTTAATCCTAAATGTTGGGCTTTTCATTGAGTCCTACTACATTCTAGGTTTTAGCTCAAAGTTTTACTCTACAATAATTTTGAAACATAGTATGTTATCCAATGTTCTATCTCCCAGCTTAGTAATAATATAACAATAACCACTAACAGTTATTGGAGCATTAACTTTGTACAAGGCACCCTGCTAAATGTTTTTCATGTAGTATCTTATACAGTAGTTTAGTCTTTACATGAAGTCAATTATTACTATTTTCATAATCTGCATTTAAAAGAATAGGAAATCAAAACTAATGAAGTTAAGAAACTTGCTTAAGGGGCTGGCCTGGTGGTGTAGCAGTTAAGTTCGTGTGCTCCACTTCGGAGGCCTGGGGTTTGCGGGTTTGGATCCCGGGCACGGACATATGCATCACTTATCAAGCCATGCTGTGGCGGCATCCCATATAAAGTGGAGGAAGATGGGCATGGATGTTAGCCCAGGGCCAATCTTCCTCAGCAAAAAGAGGAGAATTG